ATAGCCACACTCAGCTAAATTATTCAGCAGGTTGGAGGGTGCATGGAGCCCCGGTACAAGACTGCTGATTCAGCCTCTTTGGTCAGCGTAACTGTATTGTCTTGCAGTCTACTTGCAGGGCTGTAAGAATTCGTACCTAGGTAGGACCAAGCTACTGCTTAGATTCCTGAGTAAAACTGAAGGTAGAGGAAAACAGGATACAAATCAGCCTGCTATCCAAGCAGACACTTTGATACCAAGTGGCTGTTAAGCCACACCATGATGTACATGAAGTTGCTGAATAACTAGGAATTCGGTCCTCTTTTTATTTCTACATTTAGTGTTGCATCACTAACTGGGAGAGTCCACCTTTATAAGAAAGCATATGTTTTTACAAAGGATGTCAGGTCTTTTTAAAACAATTCCAAGACAAAGCAAAGTCCATTTCCAATCCTTGCCAAGATGCAGAGGAAAAAAAAAACTTTAAAGGAGGTGGGAATCTTTAGTAGTTATGTATGTAATCAAGTTTCATGATTTGAACAGGACTTGAAAATGTATATGATATTTTTGTTAAAGCAAAAAGCAATGTTCTAAGCACACACCACTACAGAAACTCCATAACGACCTGTGTAAAATTAGTAACTGAACAGTTAAAGATATGTTTTTTTACATTTCATTTGCATTGGCTCTGCATTTAAATATTTTCCCATAATGATAACAGGTCATAAACATAGATTTATATTCAATAAAGCTAAATCAAGAACTGATTTGGCTCTGTATTCTTTCAGCTAAGACTGTAAATACCAGGGTCCTATCTGCTCTGTATGAATATAAATGGCCTCAGTGGAGTTTTGCCAGTTTATAGCATCAGAAAATCAAGGCCAGAGGATCAAAGGGTCTTTTCCATAAGAGCAGGGATTTGTTTCCATGCCATCTTCTTCAAAAGGTTCTGAATTATCTGGTGAGTACTCTCCATACTAAAATTATTTTCTTTCAGTGGCACTGGGTGTATACAAGTGTATATAATGATACCTTTGTGCATTAACAGAAATATATTTAGAACCATAACAATGTCTGAGTCAGACAGATTTGTCTGCATCTCTTTTCATTTCTTCAATTTTTATCTTACTCTTTCACAACCATTATCTCAGCAAATAATTACTCTTCCTTTTACACCCACAAGGAGTAACTCTGAGCACTAATAATATCCGAACTTGCACCACAGCCAGCCAAGGAAATGACCCTTCAGATTCCTGCCCCAGTGGAAGGACTACTACACTTCCCATAAAACTCAAGGAGATCCTCCCCGTAACTCAGGATCCATCAAGACTGTGGAAAGAAACAGTGAGTATCCTTCTGGTAACACCCCAAGTAAGCAACAAGTTTAATACAGATAAGCTCACTGACTGATATGGATGCATATCTCTAGTGCACTTTAGACATCAATGAAGTCATGAATACAAAGGGATTAGAGAGATGCATCACACAGCCTTCAGTTCCAATGGGTTTGCCCAACATCAGAGATTTTGCAGTTCAAAATCCTTGTCAGTGTGTAGGGAGAAAATCCTGTTCCCTACTACAGCAGCCCCTAAGTTGGTTCCAAGTAGCACTAGAGGTTTCCTGTTCCGTGCATGAGTTTTGCCTTTAATTCTTTTGGAAAACAGGAAAAATGTTTAGAAAAGAACATAAATAGAAAAGGAAAATGTCCGTCACCAACCCCTGCTGAAAATATTAAATATTAAAGAGAACACAAACTACAAGAGGAAAAGATATTTATTATTCAGACTCCAAACCACCTCGCAAACAATGAAACAATTTCAGGTAGCTAACTCCATGTACATGTATAAAAGTTAACATGCACGTAAAGTATGTTCTTAAAAATGACAACCTGGTAACAGAGAAGAGGAAAATATGCCTCCTCTGTGAAGGATAATCAAATGAAAGGTACGAGCCAAAAACAACCACAGGGGCAGGCCAATAAAATGTCAAGTTCAGAAAATGTAGCCTACATTGCCTGATCTCCACTGTGATATTCATCTTCGTTATCAAAGAGCAAAAATCTAACTCATGAGTGGTGTAAATGTAAGTGAATTATCCCCATTTCTCTGCATAAGATGGATGTCACTAAAGAGTTCCAATTTTGTTGGGTATTCTGCAGCAAAGTGTTTCTTTATATCAAACGGAACCATATAATGACTATACTGAATGACACTTATGGAGCATAATAGGTACTCTGAACATTTGGTAAGAGAATCATCCGCCTACGAGAGAAGGAACTGAATGGCTGGATGTATCCCTAATGTACAGGGAAAAAATGGTAATAAAATGAATAGAAAATGCACTTAGAGATTTCAGAGCTGATTTGGCCTGAAGATTTTTATGAACTCCCGGATAAGTTTTATCATTGACTACTGCCAATAGGATTCCAACAGGACTGATGTATAGTTTGTGTGTCTCATCTTTTTAAAAAAACACACAAAAAAAAGTGCCGAATTCATCATTCCACAAACCCACAAAAGTCCACCTTTATTTATGGTTGATTCTTTGTCTGCAGAATAGCAAACTGTACACAAAGGTCTCTTAGATTGAAAGTTCCTTACTTTATCCTTGCTATACATACATAGGTTAATGAGGTTATCTCCCTTATTTTTCTGTTGATGCTTTTAAAGGATGACCTTGCTATCTTTGTACAGCAGTTCTCAATTTCTTCCTCACAGATTTACTCGTGGAGCTCTTCCAGAACTTACTTCTTATTCCTCCCATTTATACACATTATCTGTGTCTTCCAGAAGAAGGTGAATTAATAAATAGATCTCCTCAGGAATTTTTAGCTGAATGTTTCACTGTAAAATTACAGTTGGATCTGAAGAACTTAATTCAAAATATCTTGGCTTCAAGAAAACACTTCATGGAATTCAAATGAATTCATATTTTAAAAAAAAAAGATGTTTCCCAAACAACAGCAGAATCTGCTATACAGCCAATTGCAACAAAAACTGCTTTAACTACAGCACAGGCATCCTTTTGAGTGTAGATGTTAAAAATAAATTTCCCATTACCTTCTACCAGCAAGGTCCTATACAGACCAGTTTTTCTATACAACATACTTTTAGTTTTATATCACTCTCCTTGAACATCTTGTCTGAGATTACTTTCTTGTCTGTTTTTTGTTAATATCACTCTTATATTCCCTAATCGAGGTAGATACCATTCCTCAAAACAAATGCTATCCAGATTTCAGTGGTGCATGATTATTGCACAAAATTTCTGATCCAGAAAATTTCCTTTGGAGCATCAAAGCACCTTTCTTAGCTTTTATAAATTGCTGACAATGGAGCAGCCAACCAGCCACAGGCATTTCATCCAGAGCCTTTAAACAACTTGTGGTTTGGTCTCTAGTCTGTCTGCTCAGGCACTCTTCCCATATTCATCATGTTAATCACCCACTTCAGAAATTTTGGAGTTAGGCCAAGGAAAAAATGTTGGTCAATAAACTTTAGCTAATGCAGTTATACCAGAAAAAGACCAATAATACAATTCAGTGTTGTGATGTTAAACCAAGCCTCAATAGCAAAGCTTCTACAGTAAGCTGAAAAAAAATGAATTCTAAACACCTCATAGCAAGAGTACATACTACCTTGTGTCAGAGATGCACACTCTTCTCTCCCACCCGTACCACCTGACCTTTACTCAACTTCAGAGTTTGCTGTATTTCAGTGATGCTGAGTGTAAGCCATAAGCTGGTATTTGGAATCATCTCCTGTAAAAATAATGTAAATTCTGACAGCCTTTCAATACCAATTCCTTTAATGGATTAGATCGCTATTTTTTCCTCTGTGCGGAAGACTTTTTGTAGCAGTTCATGTTTTAATTGTTAGGAGTTGCACCACATCAATTTTGATCAACTCAAACAGTTTATTGGAAACAGGAATATTTATTTCTCTGCAGAACTGAAGTAACCCAAAAGACTGAGAAAAAAAACCAACATTCCCAGACTTATTCACTCATATAACTCTGTATATTTGAGTCTTATAATGATAG